CAGTTGAACTTCACACAGAATCGCAGAAGACTGGAAGATCATCTAGTCCAACCCCCCTGCCAGAGCAGGATCACCTACAGTAGGTCACACAGGAACGCGTCCAGGCGGGTTTTGAATGTCTCCAGAGAAGGAGACTCCACAACCTCCCTGGGCAGCCTGTGCCAGCGCTCTGTCACCCTTACAGGGAAAACGTTTTTCCAAATGTTTTTTGTGGAACCTCCTATGCTCCAGCTTGTCCTATCATTGGACATCACTGAGAAGAGCCTGACTCTGTCTTCCTGACACTCACCCTTTACACATTTATAAACATGAATGAGGTCATTCCTCAGTTTCATATTCTTGAAGCTAAAGAGACCCAGCTCCTTCAGCCTTTCCTCATAAGGGAGATGTTCCACTCCCTTCATCATCTCTGTGGCTCTGCGCTGGACTCTCTCCAGCAGTTCCCTGTCCTTCTGGAACTGAGGGGCCCAGAACTGGACACAATATTCCAGATGTGGCCTCACCAGGGCAGAGTAGAGGGGAGAACCTCTCTTGACCTACTAGCCACACCCCTTCTAGTATGCTATTGATCATGCAAGTCAACTGATTGAATATTGTCCTTAAGTATCTATGAAGACAAGGGAATTGCTTACTCCTATGGTGACTATTATTGACAAAGTGCAGAGCCAGAATCAGTGGATCGAGTTGTTGCTCAAACTTGGTGAATAGGACTGTGGAATATGATTGCTGCTACTGTGTGTTATTTCAGAAGAAAGGAGAGTGGATAAATTGCTAATTCCGGTGTTCACCGAACCTAGCTCATAAATCTTCTGCATAGGCAGCTATTTTTATAGGGGAGAAAATGTAGTTAACTCTCTGTTTCAGATCAGAAACTCGTCTTGCAAATTTTGTGCAAGATGACTTTGCACTGGTTGGAAGCTGTAGGATTGCCTCTTCTTAGACTTACAGAGTTAGACTGTGAAACGTGTAGTAATATGTAAGGATATTGTAAAAAGTCACACTTAATTGAAGCTCTTTTAGATTAAGGCTGGCCAAAGGAATTAAGAGCCAATAGAGTCCACTTTTGTGTGAACATCATTCTGTTACCATGCAAGGTTCTTTTTCAAATTGATGTATTAACTTAAATAATTTCAGAGCATTTCTGCCTTGTTTAGAAATATACAGTGGTTAACTCCAACTATCAAAATAAATAAATTTTTAACTACTGTCTCTCTACAATTTGGAGAGAAGGATGTTGGGGGAGGACAGTGTCAGAAGCTTACAGAATTCAAGACAGGTGACTTCAGTAGCTCTTCCCTTGTCCACTGGTATAGTCAGTCACTCCATCATAGCAGAGCACTAGGTTGCTTAGGCAAGATTTGCCCGTAGTGAAGCCTTGGTTAGTTGAGTTACTTTGTCTGGGAAAACCAGCAGTTCAGCCTATAGAAGACCCATTTCAGAGAAAGAAAAATCTTAACAGTCTTGTAGTCTAGAGGATAGAGAGAGCAAGTTCTCAGAGTAACCAGAGTTTCACTTGCTGCTGTAGTCCTTGCGCAATCAGCAACCAGAAGACACAGACTTATACACATAAGTTCAATGCACAGGCACAAGGATTCTGTTGTTTTGTCCTTTGGTTGTGTATGTGTAAGCTCATACATGCTTTTTACAGTACACTTTGAACTATCAAAATCAAAATACAAGTAATGTGTTTTGAAAATAAAATACTTTAAAATTTGTAAGTATCACTAAATGAGTCTATGCTACATTCACTGGGTTCCGCAGAATAATAAACTATTGCATACAATGCACATATGCATAAATAATATATTACAGTGTGATTTATATCTATAATTGTTTTCATATAGTCCCCAAATATAATATTTAGTCTAGAAAATGCATTCTGGAAAGATACATATACTAATCATGGCTTCATTTATGTCAAAAGCAATTTTTTTGTTTAGACTGGGGAGAGGGATAGCATTTTGCCCATAGGGATAGTGTTTTACCCATAGATTTTAGCATTTTGGATATAGGAGGTTCAACCACTGGTTCTACACTTGCTTAGTCTGTGACTATGCAGTATGATTTTTCTCCACTAATTTAGGACTCTGTGATACATTTCTAGCAGGCACCAGCTTTATCTCATAAGCAGCTTAAAGTTCATTGAATGAGTTACTCTCTCTTACCTCAAACCCCTTAGTGTAAGGAAACCAGAATAAGTGGACAAGCAGTTGATATCCTCCTGGCTTTCAGCTGTTCTAAAAACTTCAACAGAGAGCTGCATTTTGAACAGTTACTGGTGATCCAAATTCAATAATTTCTTACAGAATACATAAAAAACCACCAGTGTCTAAGTTGGGCAAGTAAGTTAACTCCCTCAGTAACATTTCCTTCAGTTTTTCTGAGAAGTGTATGGTTGTTTCTCTAAGGTAACTTTTCTGATTGAAATAATATTGTGAGTGGCCAAGCAGTAATTTTCAAGATGATTCTGAAAAGCACCTATATGGCAATTTGCTCTATCAAGCAATAAGGGTTCTGCCTTCTCCAGGGAAGTGTGAAACAGGTCTCATTCTTTCCCCTCTACACGCTCATCTCCTGCTAATACTCCTGTGAAAATACCACCATCCTGATCAAGGCTCAAAGCCTGTACTTTTGGATGTTATCTTAGAGCATTTTGAAGTGCCTCTTCAGGTCACATCCAGTCTTCATGATTTGCATTTTGAAATCTTTCAAAGACCTGGTGTTAAATCTCTATCTGCACAACTAAATCTCTTGCTCAAGCCTCAGTTATTTGGTAGCTTGGATAGTTTTTACCTTTGCTAGGTCAGAGCTTTCCAGCTGTATTCACGTTGTACTCATGGCAATTCCAGACACAGCAACTATTCCACTCCTGCACATTCCCTTCTCTGCCCTTCCCATGTCCTTGCTGTTTCTCAGTACCCCATGCAGCAAATGTGCATTTTTTTCCCGTTGGCATATAAAACCATTTATATTTTGGTCTTGATCGGTCTTTTGCCTCTGCTGATTGGCCTTTTGGCTCTACTGCTTATCAAATATTCATTCATATTTGTCACATCCAGCCCAGCTAATAGTAGACTGGGAGCTGATTCTTTTTAAGCGTTGAGAATCTCAAACACCTTCTTCTCCCAGTTCCACCTCAAAAGTCATCCCCCTTGTTTCCTCTGTTAGATAGCATCATATGTATACCTGGCATTAATTCTAGATTTTGTGTGAGTATGCGTTGCATGTACACAGCTACACATGCACACATCACTTACCTGATCCTGTCTCTTACCCCTAGACACCTCAACAACGCACATAAGTATTCAGTCAACACAGGTTATGTATGCAAGTGTGTGTGCAGGCATGTATTTACACAAGGAGGAATCATTTAGTATTTCTCAGCAGAGTTCAAGCTGTAGGGGAAAGAGATGATTATGATGATGAAGTCTTATGATGATGATTAAGTTTTATGATTAAAGCGCTGCCAGGTCTCTCACTGTCTGCCTAGCTCTTGCATGGCTGTCTGGAAGAGAGCACAGCACGTTCCTAACTCAGAAGGTTGTTCTGAGGGTAAGTTGTTAGTAAGTGGTTTAGATGCTGCTGAGATGGAGGTCACAGAAATGAGCACTGAAGAGTGATTTTAAACAACAGCCTGGTCCTTCTTTCAAATGATAATATGGGTTCCTGCACATGGAACACAAATAGAAATTGTTGGAGTAACATATTTAAATCCAAAAAGTATCAGATACCAATTATCCCTGGTGCTGATGACATCGGTTTTCTGAAAGGCCTGTGGAGCAGATTTTTGGGCAATTATTGGTCTTTCTTTGGTGTGGCTTCACCTTGTTTTTCGTTCGGCTCATTTTGGTGTCTGTTGAGAAGCATCTTAGTTTCAGAGTAGAAAACATTTTCTGTGTGATGACATAGGCATGATGATACCAACAGCTTGTGGCTACTCCATGTGCAGCTGCTCAGAGGGAGGAGATGTTGAGTGGCATCTGCCTCATGCCAGGTGCAGACTGAGAGAAGAAGGGTCAGAGAGAGAGCAAGCAAGTACCCATCCATGCCTGTGAGCAGGGGAAAGGCAAAGTGATGAGCCACAGCCTCAGAAAGTAAGAACTAAAGGACTGAAGAGCCATTTCCTATTTTACAAGTAAATACCTCATGGGATTTTACCCCTGGCTGAATCCTGTTTGTATTTTTTGGTATTTTTTGTCTGGCTGGTAAACCGTGTATTCCTGATCCTTTGTATGCCAGGCTGTGATGCAGAGGTGCAGGCTGAACAGCTGGTGCTTTCAGTTACATTCTCTTTTCCTCTCTGCTGTAACCTGTGGCCTCAGCCCACTCAGCTGTGTTATGGAGCAGTTTCATCTCTGTGTAGAACAGTGTTTTTGTTTTTTTTTTTTCCAGGGCCTATAAACAGAAATAAAACTACTGCTGACTTTAGACTTGGCTTTATGGATGACCTAATTTGCAGAATCTGAATTCCCAGTAGAATGTACGTCTCAGGCCAGATGCTGTAAGATGAGTTAGTATACAAAGGTGAACTGAAATTGAGTGAAGGAGAGGAGAACTAGAGCTTAGGGTCCTAGCTGCATCTTGGAAAAGGGAGTTTCATTTACTGTTTGTGAGTTAACGTAATCTCACTGGTCAGTGTTAAATATCCCATATCTAATACTTGAAAAAAAACGGTGATTTCTTTGATAGATTGTTTCTGCTTTACAATACAATAACTTGTTTGGAAATCCAGATGCATATACATTTCTGTATATATGATGTTTTATATATATATATGTGTGCACCTGTATAAGCACCTATTTAGTCATATACATGATTTGCAAATGTATGGCATATAGATTGAAATATAGTGTGTCTATGTATATACGTGTAGATGTATAAACATGACACATGTATCTATATTCTGGCTGCTGTACACGCATTTGGAGATTATCACCAATGATTATTTTCTTGTCTGTAGTACTTACAAATTTAAGCAACTTCTTTTTGGATTCATTTAGCAGCAGCAACAGAAGAACCTGAGGTGATTCCAGATCCAGCTAAACAAACAGATCGAGTGGTGAAAATAGCAGGAATAAGTGCTGGAATTCTGGTATTCATCCTACTTCTCCTTGTTGTCGTATTGATCGTCAAAAAAAGGTAAGAAAAATATCTGTGTTGATCACTCTTTTATTCTCCATGTGAAGCAATAACTAAACGAGGATTTTTTTGTAAGTCCTTAAAGAAAAGGACCGGTAGCTCACACCAGTATTTGGATGAGTTATTTGTGTTTCTTGTTTTTGCTGTTGTTCTTATGGTGGATTTAAGGAGATAATTTATTTTTATTTGGGATCCAATAGCTATGCATTTTATCATAGTTATTTATTTCCAAGCAGTTTTAAGTTCCAGTTAGAGGAATGTACAGAATATTAAAGTGGGTGCAACTGAAATTCATTGAGCCTTTTTTTTTATAAAACAAAGAAAAAAAGAATAACTTACTGCACTTTTCATGTTGTAATCACCTAATGAGTTTGGTTTTCTATATGCAGCTCTGATGAATTATTTGTATCTGTATGTTATCCAACTTGCAAAATAATGTAATTTTATACTTCTATTTATGCTCTTGTTAACCTGGAGTTGTTTCTTAAAAATTATACTACATCACTGTAAAACTATCTAGCGAGTCCTTAGTGCATGAAATCGTTTAAAAGTGTATTAATTTGAATGAATTTTAAATTTTTTTCAGTGCTTTCTTAGACAGTAAGCAATATCGCCATCTTCTGGCATCGTACAATGCTAACTCTGCATCCGAATGCTCCTACCTATAGGGTAAATGGTGCTACCCTATTTCTCCTCGGTCTGTTTTTAAAAGTCTTGAATTCTCAGTAGTCGAAACTCTTTTAACTGGGCATAAAAGTTCATAACATGGCTCTGTAAATCTGTAGCTATAGCACTGGAACCAATTCGTCTCTATCTGTGCAGCCCCTCCCTGACAGGTCCCTTTTGCAGGGCACAAGCTGATTTCTCTCAGAACGATTAGCATTTCTCTCAGACCGAGACCTTTTGTCTTCCAGTGGGTTGTATGTTGCATTCACTTGCCTTTTGCAGAAGTCTTAATGAAAAGTGTGTTTGTGATTGCAAATGTTCCTATGAAATGCAGCTTACTATTATTTTTAAAGATTAAGAAAAAAAAATGTAAATTGTGCCTGAGATCATTCTATATGTTATAATTACTGGTTTGCATTAGAGTTTTTTTAATTTATTGCCTCTTTACAATTATCCCTGGAGATATATAACTTGGAGAAGAAACGTCTGCATTAGAAACATTAGGTATGCTCATAGTGTTCTGTGTTAGTTAGCTACATGTGATTTTTTTCCCAAAAGTGCTTTTACTTTTCTCTGTCGTTTACCTCTGTGGTTGAGAATTAACACATGCAAAAGGTCCAACTCATCATATGCAAAGAAGGCATACAGTCAATTTTATTTGCACAACTTCTGAAAAACAAACCAAGTTGGTTTTCAGCTTTCAGGAAGAAATCTCTATTTTATAGCTTTATTGCAAGGCATATGCTAGGGGAGTATCATCTTCTCAGTGTGAGTTGCAGTCCACTTATGTATAAGAGAAGACTGTGTGTTTGCATGTATGTGTGTGAGAGAGAGAGAGAGACTGTCTACCACTGTATATTGTCAGTCACTTCCAGAGGGGATTGACTAGTTCTGCAGGTAACCAAAAATATATGCTTTAAATTCAGTGTGTTCATTTTTCCTATCCATTTTACCTCTTGCCTTCAGAGTCCTTTTAGACTCGTAATTTCCCTGTTGAATTGTTTGATAAAAGTAAGTTAAACATGTCCGTGAAATGATACTTTAAAATTTCCCCCTTTTTCCCCCTTCCCTTTTCTGCACCTGTGAAGTCAGTATCCTCTTAGGAATGATACTCAATCATCATTCTAAAGCACATAACATTTCGAAACTCCTGTACTATTTTGTATTCAAAATAGGTGAGAAATTAACCTGTTTAATGAATCTTTAATGTTTGGCAATTTTTCATCATGATAGTTTAATTGGTAGTCTACCGCGTATGTTAGAGGTGTGCCATTCCCTCCCCACCGCTTAGGGAAAGTGGGCGCTTTTTTCCTTTTTTTTTTTTTTTTTTGTTGAATACCAGCTTTAGTCAAGGTCTCTTATGAAAAGCATAGAAAGCCTTTGCATACCTGAGTTAATTCAGTCCATCTAGTGAATGAGGGCAGTCCACACAGTGAAGCCAGGAAGGGCTGTAAAACCCCTGACATATTCACACGTAGGACAGCACACTTCACTTAGTTGTGGTGGGTCTGAAAACCGATCCGTCTGAGTCATCCTCTGTAGTGTACATATTCAGTGATCCATTATGTAGTATCCCTTTTGGTACCCGAATTGACCACGGCTTATTACACAGAAAAGTCAATAAAACAATGGTTTCTGCATTTTCATTGGTTTATTAAGTCATATGCACAGCCATCGCCATCTCAACCTGATTAAATGCAGCATTACGTTTTATTGAAAAATGGAGTACTAAGCAGTTTTATTCACAAGTTTGAGATGTTCTAGGCTTTGCCTGACCATTTCGTACAAATTGGTTTGAAGTCTACCCGAATGAAGCTCTTAACAGCTCTCACAGAGTTTTACTGGAGTTATCAAACCAACTAAGAAAAGGGATACTGCATCTTTAATAAGCAATGCCTTTTTATTTTCAAAGTCATTGTTGGACTATTTCCAAATGTCCTTCATTTCCTTCCATTTGTTTACCTTCCATGTTTTTAATGCTTAGCATGTCTACATCAGCATTTCCAATTGTAAGATTTTAAAATAGAAAACATATGTTTGCATTCAGGAACTGTGTGGTATATATGTCAGTACACACATATCTCTTGTAACCATGCATTCTTGCATTCTTTGAAATGTGTGTACTCATATAGCTACATATAGTACACATACAAACATATGCATATACACCTGTGTACTGATAAAGATGTTAAAATGAATGACATGTAATTTGTTTTCTGATTAAATGTATTTATTTAAGGCAATCTTTGGTTTTTGTAATTGAAAAGTGAAAAGCATATTTACTGCACAAGATTTGTACACAGCTGTTCATTTGTCATGACATCTAGGTGGTAATCATTATATTATGCTGAACTGCATGTTGAAACTACACAATCCATTTAATTTTCAAATTTTTTGGCAATAGATGAAATCTCAGCATGTAATTTGCTCAAGTGATCTTTCCGAAAAACAAATCATTTTTATGTACTAGTTTATTTTTTTTTAATTGCATGGCAAAGTAAGGCTAGTTTGTGCATGAGCAAGTTGAAATGCTAACCAAAGAAACATGAATTTTTCAGTTTTTTTTTAAACGCACATTTCTCTGCTTTATTGAATGTGACAGAGTCACGCTTCTCATTCACCATTGCTTCTCTTTTTCCACTGTCTGTGATTTGCTTGCCAGGAGGAGCTACTATTCTTACTCCTACTATCTGTAAGTAGAATACGGGTGACTTACTATTTTACATATTTTAAAGATGCAGTATCCCTTTTTAAAAAAGAAAAATTCTCTATAATTTTCCTAAAGTTTTATTGATAGTTACCTTTCTTTATTCTCAGGCTTGAAAAAAGGCTTGTTCCATTGTTTCTGTTATTCTTACCCTGCGGGGTTTTTTTTAAAGGGATATTGTATTTCTAACTGTATATTGAGACTTTGCTTTTTGCTACAGTTTTTCTCATAACTATCATTTTACTTTATTGTAATCATAATTTAATTTGCATTCTGAATCACAGCGACACATCACACTGAGGGAAAAAAAATCTGTACCCATTTCCTAGCTAGAGACCGTGCTTGTAAATCAAAAACTTCTTTCTTAGTGTATCAGTTAGCAGGAGTCATCCTGTGCAACACTTTTCCTATGCAGATTGTAGGCAGATGCTAGACCCTCATAAACAGTTCTCTGCCCTACCAATAGCAGAGCAAATCTGCCTCTGCAGGTATTTCTTTTTACAGAAATATTTTTTGGGAAGATGTCAGCACCTATTGCTTGTGAGGTGCTTTGCGTACTTATTTTAAAGCATGGATCTTACTTTATGGCATTGGTTTGCGTAAAATTTTGCTACGTTGAAGCAAAACTGGCCTTTTTTTCTGTACATGTTGACCAGACGAGTTTCTGTGAGCGCTGCAGCAGTTTTGGCTGTGATTGAGCAAAGCAGTTACACACATTCTTAATTTTAAATACATGCATAAAGCCCTTGACTTCAGAGGAGATCTAAGAGTGCTCCCAAATGCTTTGATGAACCAGATGTGTCTGACAGTGATACTCTTCCACATTTTTAAGGATATAGTTGACTTCTTTAAATGAATTTAAAATTAGAAAAAATAAAGCTCTGCTGGCTTAGCTAACTGCCATTCTCCACTTTATTGTGACAAATTATAACTTCCTTGTTAAATAACAATTGCTTCAGCTCGAGATAATTAACCATGCAGTTTCATCCTATGATGGAGCACTTTTCCCCTCCAGCTCCCACTGAAACACCCACCTGTGCAGGTTCACCCAACTGCATCCTTTAGCAGATAATGAGAATCATTTACACTTTCTGTCAGCCTGAAGTACTTTAACCTAACGATTTGCTTAACTATCATGAAGTATAGATTGCATGCCTTTAGCCAAGTGAAGGAAGGGGGAAAAAAAAGGAAAGGAAAAGAAAGGAAAAAGAAATCGTCAAACCCAGAGGGAGCCAGGAGCTGCTAACAATAAAGCTGTCCTCCCATTTCCCAGCAGCATTGGGCTGCGGTGCTGCAACACAATGGGCCTTTTTAGGAGCTGAAGCAGAGCATAAGAAATAGAAAGTAGCTACTGTAATAAGCTAATAACTTGAAAGCCTTAATAGCTGTTGATTTATTTAGCATAGCTAGCAAGTTTTGTTACACAGTGATGCTTCAAAGAAGAGCTTAATGTAGTCGACAGATGCGATGTAATAGTCTTTTTGTTCCATTTCAGAGGTGGCGTTAGGAAAAAGGCGATCTTCAGTGTATAGAGACTGTTTGAAAGGGTTTGAAACTTAGAAAAACCAGTCTGAACTAGAAATGCCATTTTTGTGAAAGCTTTGATAGCATTCAGAACAAGTTATAAAACTCAAGCAGTTTCTCTTCTGGAAGTTCTGATGGTTTTCATTTGCTTGACCAGAGAGTATCGTTTAAACCAACTTTTTTTAAGTAAATAGGAATGTGTGAAGTAAATCAAGAAAATAAAGCATTTTAGAGGAGATAGCCTGTCCCTCTCACTTTTGTTTTTTAGTTTTTACTGAACAACTAATACACAGAGAACTCCCAATGTACACTGCAAGGGTTTGATGAAAAAATGTTAGCTTTGGAAACCAACTTTGAGATTTTTATAGCGAGGCATTTATCAAATAAAAATTTTCCAATTAGTCTATCTGTAAATGGGAGAAAGAATGGGGGATGGGGGGAATAAAACAGGGAGATGAGTCTGATCAGTGAAAGAATCTTTCCTTATTCTCATGAGTGCTTTATACATCTGTACCTTTCTTTGTGACCCCTTGTTGTTCACCAAGACTCTTAACCTAAGAAACAGTCCTAGCATTTTCTTAAATATGCAAAAATATTAAATGCTTCCTTTACTAGAGGGTGGTTTAAATCTTTTCTGGTGGATGTTCCCGGGACTCAACAAATAAATGGATGGATTATTTACACTAATATTCTTTTTGCCACGAGTTTGACACAGAATACTAAGTTATCAGAAGAAACAGCAAGCAGTCTTTTTACTTAGAGAAATGTAAATTAAGCACTGTCTAAACAGTTAACAGGATATTTCATGATATTTTATGCAGAAAAAGCTTGTGAAGCTGAACTATGTTTTAAACCTACATTTTCAAGAACCCAATATTTTCAGTGATGATAGTGTCTCTCCCACGTGGTATCACATTTATCCGAATAAGCAGGTTGGCTGTGTAATTCATTGCAGTCACTGCTTCAGGTGAAAATGGGGAGATTTCAGAACAGTCTGATATGTGTCACAGGTTCCTGCAGAACCAAGGTGCACTTCATGCTGTTCTGCATACTTCCCTCTACTTGAGGTATATGCTTTAAGAATAGTAGACTTTAAGCTATAATTACAATATTTTATCTGCTTCCATCTGACTTCTGAAGACAGGAAGAATCACTTCCAGTTCTTCATCAAAAGGAAAGAATTGAGAGTTATTTCTGAAGTATGCACTTTTAGGGCGTCGACTGTTAATCGGCTGTTTAGTTGCTGTTTGACTGTGATACATTCAGAGTGTAAGACTGTTAATGTTAAAATTTAATGTGCTCCCAAACTGCATGAAGGGATAGAGTGGTGAGGAGGGGTGTTGTTTGTTTTTTAAAGAACCAAGGTTCAGTGTCAGGAACAAAGTGTGATGTCATGTTGTGACTTGTGTACTGAATGGGAAGAACAACTTTTAGCTTAAAAGGTAGTATGAACCTGTATTGAATAATTATGTTTCTTTTGTTACTTCATAGTGGTTTTTGACTAACAAAATAATTTAGAAGGTTAAAGGATTTCTTCCTAACAAAGCAAGCAAGGGAAATGAATTATCCGTTTATAAAATCATAACACAAATTTAAATGGAGATGGTTGATAAAACTGCATGCACAGATGCTTCATATTTATCGTTTCAGTTAAAATGTAATTATATTCTCTAATTTATTTGTGTTAGTGTAATTACTCCACAGGAAAAAAAAATCTTACCAGAGTACAGAAGTTAGCAATTCCATTACAGCATTTGTGTGTGTACAGAAAATGCGCGATTGTGACTCATAGCAGGATGCATAGTTTTATCAATTTCACTCTGGAAATGTTGTACGCAGGAAAATCAGCCAAACTTTTCAGTCACTCATGATTATAGATAATGATTACTGTAGACATCGATGTTCATCAAATATTAAGATGCCTTGGGGTTTTTTTTTTGGCTGGGCAGCAAACTTGCAAAGAAACGCAAGGATGCCATGGGGACCACCCGCCAGGAGATGACGCACATGGTGAATGCTATGGACAGGAGTTACGCTGACCAGAGCACCCTGCATGCAGAGGATCCCCTTTCAATCACATTTATGGACTCTCATAACTTCAGCCCCAGATGTAAGTATGACAGAGATGGATACTCTGGACTGCAGGTGAATACAGAAACTCTAGTTTCTAAGGAAGATTTTTGTGAGGCTTTTTGTGAACACTGGTAAACTCAAAGGTTGAGTAAGGATATTCGTATGTTATCCTTATTAGTATGTGGCCAGTATATATTTACATGTACTTTTACAATACTTTTACAATACTTACATGTACTTTCAGTATGCGTTGGTACTTGTTTTAGGGAAAATATTGCTCTTCTAGAGTATCTCAATTATAATCTGAAATTGAGCGTATTTGATACCAACATGCTGAATACTACTGCGTAACACCACATCTGTAGTGAATAATAATATGAGGTCCAAATTAATTTATTTCTTTTGGCAGTAAGGACGTTGCAACAGAAGGGAACTGTCAATTTCCATTGCTGTTTCCGAAGTTTAGGAAAAAGCTCATTAATATATCTGCAAATTTGCTCAATAGACTTGCCAGCTATCTGGTTTTGACAAAGTTTGGCAGTTTAGGTTTCTGACTGTTAAGTGTCTGGATTATATCTACCATTGTCCAGCGCTCCTGCCTAACAGCATCTGCACTGTGCCTTGCACAAAAGCAGGATGGTCCACTGGTGGACTCTGAATACCTCAAAACTAGTGTGGAAGTTATCAAAGAGACACAGTTCTGCCATGGAGCTGACAGGAGCCTGACCTTCTCACGGCCACATGGACTTGTGGCTTGGCTTTAAACAGATCTGAACAGCCTGAGCAGCTTCTGAATTGCCATCTTTTGGGAATAGCACGCCATCTCCCTTCTCTTGCCTCCTGTACTACTTACTGTGCTTGAGCAAAATGCATCCCTTAAGCCTCTTAAGTTCTTTCCTGATTGTTGTAAGGGAAATGGATTTTGGAGGAGAGTTTATTGCTCAGTTTATTGAAGCTTGTCAAGCTGTAGAGTAGTAATGTTTTGAATGTCTCCTAACAAATTATAAATGAGAGTTTAGTATCAGCCTGTGGGTTTTTCTACACAGTTTTGGCTGGAACTCTTTGAAAATTCTCCAAAGTTTGATGCCTTATTGGCATTGGAATTTGTGGAGGCAGATTTGTGAGGACAGTTCAATTTGGACTAAGTTATGGTGAATCCCAGGCAAAGTATCCACCAGGAACCTATTAGTGAGCCAGGGCTGCCAGTTACTTGGGCAGCCTTCCAGATGGACTCACATGATGCCAAGAACCTGTAAGCCACAGCCACCACAGCTGAACTGGTTGGTTAAGAAAGAAGTGTGACATCACTATTTTCCAGCATCCCTACGTATGCGATTTTTTTTGTGTTGGAGGATTTAGTTCTCCTGACCATCGTCTGTGCTGAGGCAAAGAACCTTCCAAGCTTCCAGGGTTTCCTGCTCTGCAACAAACTTTTAGACATGTTGCTTGAGAACTGGAGCTCAGTATTGTCATAGAGCTGTTGATATTTTGAATTTTTGTTCCAGAAGGAACAAAAACAAATTCTGGATTCTGCCATTTCTGTCCAAAGCAGCACATTTGTTTCTCTATGGTTCTAGTTGTGTTAACAAATGATAAAATTCTGTGAATTTTATTCAGACATCTGCGTCTCTGTATCCGTGATTTTCCTAGATCCATTAAGAGAAATATCTTTGGCATTGCACATAAAAAATGCTGTTAACTGTAAATATGTATGTATTTTTTTTAAATTACCAGGAAGACCATTTTATTTTGAGATGAGCTATTCAAGTATTACATGAAAGAATAGGTTTAAAAGGAAAGGAGTTGATTCTATGAAAGTGAACCTTTATTGTGAAGCAAAAGAACAATAGTGAAGGAGGAGCCCTTTCAAAAACTAAATTGCATGTAATGTCTTCTTTATTTCATTTCAGTAAGAATCTCTTTGCCTTTATCATTACATTTCTGAAGTCCAAAATCACTGCCTTTCATTGCTCTTTTATACAGGATGCTTTCTGGGACTTTGTATTCTTTCTGGTTTTTAGCTGTAACAAAATAAATGGTATTTAGTTATCACTTGGTTATACTCTGAAGTATATTGTTTTTATTCTTAAAAGTACACAAACTGAGGGTAATGTATTTCTTCATGAGCTTTGTTTTCCTGCAGTGCCCAATGATCCACTTGTGCCGACAGCTGTGTTAGGTGAGGACCTTAGTCCTTCATTATCCATTCCTGCATGAGTTTCATCTCCTTGCATGGTTGAATGTTGAAACAGCTTGGTTTGTGTAAAAGATAGCTATGCTGTTGTCAGAAAATACACTCAGTTTATCAAATCAGAATTAAACTGACACTGCTTTATGCTTTATTATTTCATGTTCTCATTAAGAAGTTATTCCTAGTCAGAGCTAACAAGAATAAATGAGGAAATAGGTAAATGAATATTCAAATTGAGTTCCAATGAATGGACATGTGAAACCAGAACCCCATTAAAAGATATATAAAAATAAAATTCACATGATCCATATTAGCATTCTTTGGCACCTGAAACCTAACAAGAATTAACAGAAAAACTTCTGTAATATGCAAGAAGAAACAACTTTTCACATTCTGTACAAATATTCCTGTATACCTATATTAATTACATATTTCAGTTGACCTTAACTAGTAAATTTTTCAACTTCGCACTTACTTTAAAAGAACAATGGATGGGCAGAGTGGCCAGGCTGCTTATTTCTATGTCACATCTAACACTGAATACATTTTTAGAGGTTTTTTTTGAATATCGAAAGATAAAAGTATAATTTGTACCCAAGTTTGTGGTTTGATAAATGCAGTATGCAATAATGAGTTTGAGTCAGTTGCTGAGGTTATTTTAGAGTAAAAGACAAATATCAGGAAGTGGACATGAATGTAAACTGAAGTTGAAAATCAGATTTCTGGAAGTAAAGCTTAAAGGGACCTGGAGGCAATTTAATCCCTCCTCTGTTTTGAAATGGGATATTATACATATAATATAGACTCTTTCTAGCAGTTGATTGTCTATTACATTTTAGAAATTTGTCATGAGGAGAATTCTGCTCTTGCAGTGGCATGTTCCAGTGCTTTGCTCCTCCTAAATAAAAATAAAATACAGATCTGTATTTTAGTATTAATAGAAGCTCAAAGCTCAGTTTTCTGAGTATATAGTTACTAACTGGATGTTACTACTGAGCATTATTAATGCTCACTCCTGGTGTTTCCTAACTAGGCTAATCTAGACTAAATCTTCATTGCTGTGGCT